CATTCCTGGCCAAAAACATCTGTAGTTTCTCCTCTGGTTTGTAGGTAGTGGGGATCTCTGTATAAGCAGCAGGGAAGTTGTCAGGAGACCATCACAGAAACATGTGACAGGACCGTCTGCTCTTGTGCTTTTTGCCAGTACTACTCTGCCCTCAGACTAAGTCAAAGTCTGAAAGTCTGAAGTCTTCCTCATAACTTCTCACCTGCCAAAGGCCAGAGAGCACAACACCAGAGTGACTCATTAGGTATACTGATTTTTGGCACCATATTGTCCACATTAGAAAACACAAATGGCCAGCTTCCAACACAGAAAATTCCTGCAAATCTGCCCTGTGGCTAAAATAGAGTTGAAAAACTGACCAACACAGCTATCACCAAATGTTTCTGTGCTGTATCGGTTGAGATACCAAATACTTTTGTCAAGCTCTCGTATCTCCAAATCACAGCAGATCCTCTCACTGTTTCTGAGTTATGTTATGCTTTGGAGACACTTATTGTATGTCTCCCAGGTGGCTTTGTGGACAGCAGAAAAAGCACAAGGGCCACAGACCTTGTAACTGTCCATCCCTGCTCTCAGTCTGACTCATTTGTGCAGTCCTAGTCTAGAAGTCCTAGAAGTCCCTGTGGCCCTAACCTGTGTTGGCCTTAGTCCCCAAAGGGAGCTGTGGGCATCTGCAGCCTCAATCAACAGAGACCAGGGATATCTTCTCCCATAAAGGCGAAGCTGATACCTGCCTTCAGGCCAATGCATGGGACATACTGCAGAACCAAGGCACAGCAGAGCCAGGCTCTCCATTTAGTCCCACATATAGAGCCTATGTACATGATGGGGACATCATGGAAAGCAGCATACCACCGAGGGTTGACTCTAGCTGTAGTTAGGTTGTGTAAATAGTCTGCATTTCTCACTTTGAGGCTCTACTCCAGCAGTTAGACCAGACACACAGCACTGGCATAAACAGATTACCTCTCCTGCACTGTGGACCAACAGTATATATTCATACACTGCAGGATTTGTTCAAAATGGGCTGTCAGGGGATCCCAGTGTCCGCAGATAGATGTGAACATATCTCCTAGGAGGAACCCTCCTTAGCCTTGCAGGTGGTTTTGGCACTGTCCCTCCTCTCCTTCCTCCATGCCCTCAAGCAACGTGGCTGCCCCTGTATGATCCACACCACAGTTTCAGAGGGGTGGATTTTTTTTTGTCTTGTTTTGCTTTTTTAACTAGTTTCATCTAAGCTTGGTTTTAGAGGTGCCGTGGGAGAACTATGTTTTGTTTTGGTGGGGGGTATTCTCAATTTTTAGGATCTTTTTTTCTGCTCAGATTTTTTTGAATGTTAGGAATGTTATGGCTTCAGAGGAAGACAGAGGATTCCTCAGACTTTCAGGGCCCCTCGTGTTGTTCCTGGCACGTTTGAAGGGTGGCCACTGTAGACCCTCAGAAAGGTTGTCCTGCCTAGACCTCTGATCCGATGGCTTCT